AAAGATAATTTGTTTAGCTAAATACTAGAACTACAGCAGGAAGTCAGATGCAGTTGCATGAGGCCCATATCTACCAGAGTATATTTTGAATGTAGGGCCATTTCTATGGATGACCTGCGTCACAATGTTGGTATATTTGTATCTGATTATTTGCTTGTATTTATAAAGCAATCAAAGCAAAGGTCAGATTGGAATTCCAAAGCTTGCATTGTGCAAACTTTTTTTTTTGGGACGGTCATAAGGGACCCAATCACATTCCCATCCAGCAGCTCAATATAATTCTTGGGTAAGGATCTGGTGTTCAAAACTACCCTAGGGGGTGATAGATCCTGAGTACTTCCAACCCTACCGACTGCACATAAAGACTTTCTACTTGTGTAAAATCTGGGTGACACATAAGAGAGTTAGAGAAAACTGAAGGAACACTTCTATACAGTCCCTGCTGGATCATTTACTGAGGAGATGGTCTGAGTGGCGCAATGTCAGATACATAGCAATGGCGGTAAGTGCAATTACTGCACAACCATATATGGCGTGCCCTATAGATTACTGTGAGCATACAAAGCAGTAAGGTTCCAGACATTAATTATACCAACAATGAGATAGCCAAGCCCCACAAAGACTGACGGCATATCAGGGTAAGGGATCCAGCTGCTAACCCTTACCTACTATATCCAAAACTAATCCAAAAGAAAAAAAAAATATCTTACATTTTAATGAAAAACTCAAGCCATCCTTTTTTTCTAACCCTTAAAACAAGTGCTACAGACAGTAAAACAATGTTGCCAATGGTTCTAACCCTTACAGAATCTACCCACTTACAACACGAAAGGAGATTTTTCAAAGCTTATTGGATTGTCAAACATAACTATTATTAAACTGTTAGCTTACATTAAAAATATCCCTGGCGATTCTGCCATGAAGTTCCTTGATCCAGCACTTCCTGCAATAGGGTGACAACGCTCTGTCTCTCTCTCCCATTTGTGCTCCTGTTTTGTCACACTCTCATCTAATGCAGACTACCAGGGCCATGCTGGCGCATGTTCCAATGTGGTCGCCTTAGAGAAACCCACCGTGAGGAAAATCATTGACAGAGTGCATGCATATAGACAAGATGTGGCTACAAAGAGGCTGCAGGCGATCAGTAGCACGGACATACAACAAAAATTTAAAAATGGTGAAAACAAGTGATAAACAAAGCAATAAAATGTTGACAGTGCTTCTAACCCTTAAACAATCTATCCAAACATCAAAAGTTTTGGCTGTAATTGGGGTTTAACTCAATGCAAACACCAGTTCAACCGGGCCGACTCCCGGTTTCATTGAGGTGTATTTGCTGGGAGTGTCTACCCACAGACACAATGATCATCACCCAATATGGATGTAGTTGTCCAGATTGGATGACAGTCATCTCATGTCTATGAATAACTTAGCAAGGACTTCCTGCTGTGAAACAATATTTCTTTCATTTGTTAAGCAGCCGAAGGAAGGATGCGAGTACAAGTAAACTTGGCTTGTTTGAAGAATGTGTTCAGACAATACCCAAGTGTGCTGATATTTATACTTGAGCAGAATACATTACATTAAGCTGTCTTTTCTGTGACTCATCCACTCCTGCCTATTGTCTGGAAACAGCAGTCTAAGCTGCAAGATGTAGCTGATGTAATCCTTTGTATACTTTATCTCAATTAAATTAACTGAAAAGAAAAACAAAAAACATTTGTCTTCTGGGCTTTAATAGGACAGTTGACTTTAATTGTTATGACAAGGAACTGTACAATTTAATGCCAGGTATGAAGCTACCCTTTAATAAATCCCCCCTACCCCCGAATGAATCCCAACCAGGGATAATACTAACTTCTCAGATTCAGCATTTTTTGTCTCAGCGCCTCTCCATACTGCATAGGGTTGCACAGATACCAAGTACAGTACTCGGTACAAGTACGAGTACATGTACCGATACTTTTGAGCTCCAAGACTACACTAGATAAAAATTAAAAAATTAGGAGGCAGCTGTCATTTGTAAGGAGCATACGGAGCTCCTGGGATTTGTGCATCTCTGTTTTAATGTACGATTTTGTTTTTATAAATATAAATAAAGGGATGAACAGATACCAGTTTTGCGAGTACGAGTACTGGTACTTGCCGAGTACTTACAAGTATGAGTACTGATACATTTTTGTTTATTGTCATGTGACAGTTTTTCTAAAGCAATACAGACTAATGAGTTCAGGGCAGTGGTGGAGTGCCAGAGCCCGGTCCCAGCTGCAACCGCTGCAACCCTGGTAGTTCTCATGAAAATGCCAAGTATCTGCACTGGTACTCGAAAAGTATCTGTGCATCCCTAATACTGCACGTACGTACCATAGCCCCATTCATTGGGCCACTTCCAGTTCTGTGACAACGCTCTGTTCCTGTTTCCCAACTGTGCTCCGGTTTTGTCACTCTCTCTCCCAATGGGGACTACAAGTGGCCGTGTTAACAAACCCTGCACAGGCATGTCCCAATCTTGCCACCATCAGGTAACCCAACCTGGGAAAAGCCACTGGATTATATGCATATAGACCAGGTGTGGCTACAAAGAGGCTGCAGGAGATTGACAGCACTGAGAAGCAACAAAAATTTACAAATAGCGAAAAAAATATATTAAAAGCAAATAATAAATATCATTAATTCAGGGTTTACATCTACTATATCCAGTTGTGGCCACTGGGCCTACTACACATACCTAAAAATAAAAAACCTCACTGAAGTACATGGAGCATATGTAGTACATCCTGTATTTCTGCCCCGCTGCTGCGTCCTCCCCCCATCGCAATAGCTAGCAATTACCGACTGCAGAAATTTAATTTTAAGACCGAAACTGAAAATTACTTTTGTTTTACCAACCTTTTTACATTTTGAGGACACAAGAGTCCTCAATCTTGAATGAACAGGAAGTGATGTAGAGCACTTCCTGTTCATTCATAACTGGGGACACAGTAAGCATACTATGACCTCCGTTATTTACAAACACAGCTATCAGCTGATTGCTGAGTGTCTGTACTCCACTCTCCAGCTTGACTCGTGGTCCCAGGGGGCTGAGCGGGGAGGTGTGTGAGGAGAGCACAGCCTCCTGACAGCTGACTCCTCCCACACACCTCTCAGAATCTTGACTTTCCGCCTGTCACAGGAGCCAAGCTCGGCTCCTGTGACAGCTGTCTCCGCCTCGCACTGTCACACTCGGCATCCTGAGCTGTCTGCCGCCCCGCTTGGCTTCCTGAAACCATCTCTCCTTCCCCGCCCCTCTCTGTCCCCTCTGATCCCCGCTGCCTCTGCCAACACGGACAAGACACAGAGCAGTGCCCAGCAGGCAGAAGTTAGGGATGCACAGAATTTTTGGCCGCATTTTTTGCTGTTATGGCACTTAATGTTATGGTAAAAAGAAATTTAAAAAAAAAAGATTTTTTTTTTAAAATGTGTTCATCTATAACCCCTTATCAATCCTAAATGTATCCTAATCAGCTCTAATTAACTCCTCCTTACCTTAACTATTTTCCTGCTGATTTTTTTTTTATTTCTATTTTTGTAACTATTAGCATTTAAACCTTGTATTGTTTTTTTATTTATTTTGTTTCTTATTTTTTTTTAGTTTTGCATTAAAATACTTTAAATAGGACACATTTTAGAATAAAATTGATACTTTTAACTACAATAACACAAATATTTTTTTTTTAAATAAACATAAATGAAAGTGATTTTTGAAAAGTTTTGTTATTTATTTTGCCTATATATTTTTTTTTTTTAAACAAAATAGGAGGTTATATATAATATACAACCAATGTCATTAAGAACTATCTTCAGCGTAAAGAACAACAAGGAGTCCTGGTAGTGATGGTTTGGCCCCCACAGAGCCCTGATCTCAACATAATCGAGTCTGTCTGGGATTACATGAAGAGAGAGAAGGATTTGAGGCAGCCGACATCCAGAGAGGATCTGAGGTTAGTTCTCCAAGATGTTTGGAACAACCTACCTACCGAATTCCTTCAAAAACTGTGTGCAAGTGTACCTAGAAGAACTGATGTTGTTTTGAAGGCAAAGGGTGGTCACACCAAATAAATATTTAATTTGGATTTCTCTTTTGTTCATTTACTTTCCATTTTGTTAATTGATAAAAAATAAACTATTAACACTTTTATTTCTTACTTTTAGCATTTTTTCACAGCTGCCTAAAACTTTTGCACAGTACTGTATATTTTGGAGTTAATAGTAGAAGTCATAAGGCACTTTGAGAGCAGCTTCTCGACAATTTCTGTGAGAGCAGCCAGACAGATCTATGACCCTATAAGAGCAGTCAGTCTTTTCCTTCGGTAGCAATGGGTCTTCTCTTTAAGCAACCTGCCCTTTGACCCTTTTAGGCCAGTCAAAGATACCTTTACTTGGGGAGTGGTGAATCATTTTTACAATGTCCAGACAGCAGCTCTACCCAGCTCATCTGCAACTCTTCAGCAAGAAGATTGCTTTAGCACAGTAACCTTCAGATATCAGCTCCACAAGGCAACTAAAGTCCTTAGTCCTACAGTATATGGCCCCGACTGAGACAAGGCCCAAGCAGTGATCCTTTAAACAGTCATCCTCCCCAGGCAGAGCCCAGGAGGAGAAACGCCACTCTTGAAAAATGACCTAAATATTTATCATCTTCCCAAACCATACCTTTGTTACAAGAACATCAGGGATTGGTTGGGTCAAATACATATTCATAACTTCCCATGCTGATTACCAGAACTCTGCTCAGTAACAGGCATAAGCTATCAACTGAGCTTAGAAAAGACCTACGGAGCCTAGAATAAACATAAAGAGCAGCTCAGGCTGGTTACAGCCAAGCAATGACACACTAAAATTGGAGATGCAACAGCATAGGCAGGTTCCCTACATAATGCTACTGACAGACTGCATCATATATGTCAGGTGGGATTAAACCTGAAGCTGCCCTGTAAGATGAATAGGTGGCCACAACTTACCTTGACACCAATAGCAACGATAAGATGTTTTGGAAGCTCAGCATTGTCAAAACAGAATGGGCATTTCTCCATCCTGGCATTCAGCTTGCGATGCTCATATATTGCCTGTTGTCTCTCCCTCTCCTCCTCCTCACCAGCATGCTCCTTCTTCGCTGCTTTGGAGACAAACATGTCATCCAGGCTGTAATAATCTTGGTCAGTCTTCTCCCTGAACTGAAAGAGAGAATGCCAGACTTAATAAAACTGCTTAACTTGCGGTCATAGATATTCATAAACGTAAAGCTAACTACATTCTAATAGGCTGGCTGAGCAACAAAATAACTATTAAAAGAGATACCCAATAATAAAATAAACAGAGAAATCAAATGTAAATTGTTCACTGCCATCTTCATGTGGTCTACATAATTTGCTCGATTCAAACTGCCAAACTCACTGAAAAGCACAATGGAACTGGTTTAGTCCTGTTCACAGTTCTGCTCTTCACCATTCAGCTATTCAGTTGACCACACTACCTCACTCAATCATCACCGTAACCCACAACTCTGCATCCAAATGAAATGCTCTCTGTAGATAAATACCTTACCAAAAGTAACGTTAAAAATAAAAATGGCTTTTCTTTTCACTCACACCTTGACATATTTAAAGGATGGAGTTTTATCCTTCCACTACCACTCACACCATTGCCAGTCCTTACACACAATCTGTGTCATACAATAAATAGTTCATAATAAAGTGTATCTAAACCCTACACCAAAAATGCTATCATTTTAGCTTACCAGTCTTTAGATGTGGTAGCTGAATTTGTTTTTGTATTTCCTTATTTTTACAATGTGTGCCAGTGACACACTTCCTGTCCTAAGATGGTGACTCTGCACCTCTAGATATACAGTATGGTTAGTTACTGTCATCAACCTCGGACAGTAAGTGTGTTAGAACATATTTCCTATTATTCATCTCTATAACATAAAGGGGAAGTATTCAGCTTGCAAGATTTCTGGCAGGATGAACATTTTTTTTTAATTAAACAGATAAAATGTTTTCAATGCAGTATTATTTTACAGACCCAAGAGGAGGTAATATGATTTTTTAAAATTAGTTCAATTTGTTAAAAGGAGCTGATTTATAGCAGACATCGCTATTGCCGCTCTCCGCTATGCAACACAGAACTGCTCAATACTGTGGTCCATTCTTAAAATGCAGGCCTGCGGTGTTGGAGACAGGTCAGATGATGAGGCTCTCTCGAAGTTTTTCCACACTTTACCCTCTCCTTCCCCATTCATTTCTGTTGTGGTATGTCAGCTTTGGAAATCAGCAGAGCACAGCACAAATTTGTAAAGTACACAGCCGTGCTTTATAAATGGGCAAAGCACATTTTTTTCTTTAAAGTAGTACTCTGTTTTATAAAATGTACCTTCAAGTCTAGAAATCCATAGCAGCATTAGGAATCCATATAATACTGGCCTGACTTCAGTAGAGTGAATTTGGATGTGTTGCTATTTGTTACTGCAATTAAATGTTATCACTTGGACAGCAATATGAAACTCCTTCCGAGAGTTAGAGCGTTTTTATTGCTGTCTGTAAATAGGATGTAAAAGGTAAAAGGAATATTTCCCTCTCAATTCTCACCCTGGAGACATGACAGGAGAGGGGAGAAAATCTCCCAGAAGTCGGTGGACCATAGCTCCTGCTCTAGTGAACCTGTCAATTTTGTATCACCCCACATTTTCTAAAGCAGGGACAACCATTATTGGAACAGAAACTGGGGGTAAAAATCCCCAATGAGGACAAAAATAGCAAAAAAAGTTTGACATACATTCTAACCCTTCTGAATGCAAGTGAAAACTAAAAAACAAAAAGAAAAAAAAAAATCAAGCGATTTTGGGTAGAATAGGGAACGGTTAAAACCACTGTTAGGTTCCTTTTGCAATCTGTGTCCTACTGGGGAGACGGTAAATCTCAGTGGGAAGACGAGCAGCCAGAAAAACCCTGACAGATGTTCTAACCGTACTACTACTGTATTAGTTCTTTCAGTGTAGAAGACTATCATAAGTTAATTTAAGTTTAGAAGACTATCATAAGTTTATCTATAACTGCTGTTTAGGAAGGATAGCCTTTACTCTCTCTGTACTTTTCTAGCTGAGCTCCTGATTCACAGCTGCAATCAATGCTTTACAGCACATAAGGTGGCCATACACCTTAAGGTGCCCACACACCCTGCGATAATCGCATGAAATCCCGCGATCGTACGATTATCGCATAGTGTGTGGAAGGCATGCGACCGTTTCTACTGTACGGTCGCACGACTTTTATCTTAGGAACATGTTTGAAAACCCGCCAAGAATCGTACGATTGTGGGCAGGTGTGTGGCATGCTCGTAAGATAAATGCCGAATGGGCCGGTGTGCGCAAGCGCACACTGCCCGTTCAGCATTGCGGTCATCGGAAGCCCGCCCCTCAGGGGGACAGCCTTGCGATAATCGCAAGTACGATCTGCCTGTCCAAGATGGGCAGATCGTACTTTTTTTGTGTGGCCAGCTTTACAACCATCGCAAGACTTTTGTCTTGCGATGGTTGTAAGGCAATTAGAAAAACGTACAATCTGCCCATCTTGGACAGGCAGATCGTACTTGCGATCATCGCAAGTCTGTCCCCCTGAGGGGCGGACTTCCGATGACTGCAATGCTGAAAGGGCAGTGTGGGCTTGCGCACACCGGCCCGTTCGGCATTTGTCTTACGAGCAAGCCACAAACCCGCCGACAATCGTACGATTCTCGGCGGGTTTTCAAACATGCTTGTAAAACAAAAGTTGTGCGACCTTACAGTAGCAGAGGTCGCACGCCTTCCATACACCTTGCGATTATCGTACGATTGCGGGATTTCCCGCGATTATCGTACGATAATCGCAAGGTGTATGGGCACCTTTACTTTTGCCAATATGTATGCATAAGAACAGTCATTATGGCATGTTACTTGGACTTCTGCCGGCTGTGTGTTAATGCTGAAGCTTATAGTAGGAGAGTCAGGGCATATGTATGATCATTTGCAGGAAGGTTACCATATTTCAGCAGTTCCCATATTTATAATGTGACCATAAAAAACAATAAAAAAAACAAAACATGAATTCAGGCTGTTATCCTAATGGTAAGAAGACTGTAAGCCTGTCTTTATGAGTACAGCTTAAATGCTCTTCAGCATTGGGGGGTCCTTCCTTCCGTAGAACTCTCAGCACGTATCTATTCAACAATCGTATCTGCTTCAATCAGCTGGTGGCTGAGAAGATAACAAGGTGGAACAACAACTATAGATCACTGCACCGGTGAAAATCAGACACATGTGGATGATGCTGGTCTTTGTAAGTTACACTGAAAATACTAGAAGCTATTTTAACTTGTATCTGTGTTTTATTTATAACTCTTTCATGACCAACAAGCTGGGGAAACTGGTAAAACCAGTCCCCCCAGGGAGAATAAGGCCACCTATTTGCACCCTATAAGGAGCAGATAGCTGGCACACAAGTTTGCCATCACCTTCTTCTTGGCAATGGAGGTGTCAAAGGCCTCACAAGTGTTGGGTCCGAAACTTTGAGGGGTTTACCTCATATTCTATGGACACTATTAACAGTTTCTACCAATACTGAAAGGCATGAATGTTAATACTAGCATGGCATGGGGGATCCATGCCAACTGGTCCATTGTCAGGTGCCTGCATGCCAGATATTCTGGGGTAGTAACTAGGGATGCACCGATGCCGTTTTTTCGGTACTCGCCAATACCGAATACTGATACTGGAAGTCCTATTAAAGGAAGCCAGGCGGCATGACTCGCCACCTGGCTTTCTGATTAGCAGGGAAGCCGTTTCCATGCTTCTCGTCACTAGGTGACAGCACTAGTGACGAGAGGTGACAAAGCAGCATGAAGCCGGCGTGACAAAGCAGCATGAAGCCGGCTTCCCGGCCAATCAGAAAGCCAGGCGCCGTGTAATGATCATTACACGGCGCCCGGATTCCTGATTGGTCGGGAAGCTGACTAATCAGGAAGCCGAGCAGCGAGTCATTACACAATACCGGAAGCTGAAGTATCGGGCTAGGCATCGCCCAAATACTAAGCATAGGCACCTATACCAATACTAGTATTGGTGCATCCCTAGTGGTAACAATGGTATAGAAAGGGAAGGGGAAAACATTGATTTTTTGTTGTTTTTGCTTTTTTATTAAATCAGTAATACAAGTACAATAATACTAGATTACAGTAGTAACAATATTGATAACAAAATTATGTTGAAAAATATAGCACTGTCCCTCCAATTGGTTAACCTGTGTTAAGCTAGCCATTCATTTTTAATTAGGTACAGTAATACCTTGATTTACAATTAACTTGGTTTGAGAGTGTTTTGCAAGACAGGCAAACATTTCTGAAAAAATGTTGCCTTGATATACGAGCGATGTCTTGCAATAAGAGCAAAATTTTGTAGAAAAGCACCACCCGAATAAGGCTGTGGCAGTGCGAGCGATGTGTCTTTTTAACGAAAATGCAATGTCACATTGGATAGATTCCTTGTTAAGGTTTCACGAAATGAAAAAGATTCCATTGAGTCAAGGGAAGTTATATGAATATTTTTGGGTTGTGGAACGAATCATCTAATTTGCATTATTTCCTATGGAATTCGCTTTGATATACAAGCGCTTAGGATTACAAGCATGCTTCCAGAACGAACTATGCTCGTAAACCAAGGTATCACTGTATACGTAAACTAGGGGTGCACCAATACCGATACTGGAATCGGTGCCGATACTGAGCCTTTTGTCTTATACTCGCCCAAATGCTCCGATGCTTACTCAAATACCGGAGGATTCCCTCTGACTGGCAATGCCGCGAGGGAGAATGAAGCTCGCTCCCCCGGCCAAAACGGCGGCGGCTCATGATCTGCCTCCCGGCATCACACTGCGAGGCAGCCTAGCTTCCTGATTGGTCAGGAAGCCAGGTTGCCTTGCAGTGTCGCGAGGGAGTGTGAAGCCAGCTTCCCAGGCAATCAGGAAGCCGGGCCTACGCTACCACGGGATGCCAATATCGGTACTCAGTATCGGCAAGTACTGATAAAAAAAAAACAACGGAACTCAAACTCGATACTGAAAAAACGGTATTGGTGCATCCTATATGTAAACACTAACTATGAACTTATCTTATAAACCGTTGCTTTTGGTCTGTTCAAAATATT